AGTTATATAAAAGGAAAACAAAATGTTATAATGGACTGTACAGAATTAAATGATACTATGGTAAAATTGCATAATGTACTATTAAGCCCTCATTTAGAATATTGTGGTCAGCATGTTTCAAATTGATATTGCTACTCTGGAATCAATCCAAAAAGTAGGCACCAGATGTATGAAAGAAACAAACCAGGCTGAAAGAAACAAACTTTTAAGTTTTGAAAAAAAAAAGACTACGGAAAGACCTAATAAAAGTATTCAAAATTCTCAAAATATTAACAAAGTCAACTTAGCAGACTTCTTTAAACAAATGAAATATGAACCAACTAATTGGAAACTATGTGGAAGTGTATTTAGAACCAAGAAAAGGGGGCATTTCTTTTCCCAAAGGGTTAGATTAAAGGGTTTTGGTAGTATGGAACAAATTACCCAAGCAAGAAACTACTGTACTGAATGAGGTTCTTGGACAGATTCATGATCAATGGATCAAATACCCTCCTCTCATTGTTACTGTTCGCTTGCTCTTATTTCATTACTAAATCATATCAATCATATCTTTAGTTTTCTTGTAGCTTTGCCATTGATTCGTGACAGCTTTTGTCCCATTAGACCTTTATTGTGGGTTTGATCTGGCTGCATCTCCAAGGCCTGTGATCAAGAGGATGATGCATGATATGACAAAACCGCATCGATTCTGACATTTTAGCTAGAAGACAAAGGTGACACTATCTGCGAAAGCAACACAAAACCTGCAGATCAGCTGTAATAAAAGAAAGAGGTAACCAAGCCATATTCTATAATAATATTAATAATAATAAGTAATGAATCTGCAGACACCTTCCTCTAACACAGAGACAGATGAAGTCAAAGGGAGTCCTGTGAGCAATTTTTGTTTTTTTCCCAAATCTTATGGATTACCATTTTGATTGTGTGGATCAGGAGATACACACTGCTTTTAACTTGGATGAATTCTTTTACAGAACTGTAGACCAATAATTAACTGCTCTTAATTACTTGTTGGAAGACAACAGTAAAAATGAAAAGTACTGCATTATTGTCAAAGAAATACTGTAGTCTGCATTGATGCTTTATTTAAAAAAATAAATATTTTACACCATCTTTACCAAAAGCCATACTCAGCTGAGTTGTCTGTCTGCAATATTTGTTTTAGCCCCCTAGTAACAAGATTGTCTCTATTATCTTTGAAATTAGGGAAATTAGGGAGAGGCTTTCTGTTCCTCCACATTTTGAGATAACATCCATAAAACAGACATGTAAATCTTTTTAGCTCTTGCAATCACCTCGCAAAATATAACAACGATGTTGATTATGCAACATATGCTGTGTGTTGTGGACCTACTATAAAAACACTGAAAGATGTAATATGAAGAATGGCATAGATGTAGTGTCATAGTGAGTAACTTTCTATAACAGATGTTATACAAGATTAAAAAGAAAAGAGGAAAAACAAAACTTTTCCAGGCTTAAGACAGGTCAGGAGCATGATCTTGATGAGAGGTGGAACTGCCAACAATCATCTAGAGAGAGACAGCACATCTATTTGAACATATTTAAATTGATTATTTACTTTTAAGACTGACTCTTTTCTCAAATTTCAAACAAATTGTGAATTGCTAGGGTCTTGCACCATGATGTAATTATATATGTGCATTATATTATGTTTAACAGCAGTCCAAACACATGCTGGTAGGTTATTTGGCTTCTGTACAAATTGGCCTTGGTAAATGTTTGCATGTTTGTGTCTGTATGTGCCCTACAATGAACTGGCATCCTGTCCAGGGTGTATCCTGCCTTTCGCCCAATGTTTCCTGAAATTGACCCTGAGCTGGACAAGCCATGAAAGCTTTGAAAGTGATATGAATTCTGCCACAAGGTGGAGCCTGAACTTCATAAAACTAAGGCATAAGGCATAAAATATAACTCCTACTGGCAGCATGATCAAAGTAAGAAGTCCACAAATCTAGTCCCTGAGGACCCCCATCTAATTGGTGTTTAAACTAAAGTCTTTCAAAATTATGAACACTTGGAAGTTATTGGTTAATTAAACAAGTAATTTTCTAAGTGAAGAAAACTCCCTGAAGTCTGATGAATACTCTGATTTGTGTACCAAATGATCACTATATTACTCAATTAAAAATTTCTGCCCTTCACTTAATCACAGATACATTTGTACAGGTACTGTATTTAACAATTCCTGAATTAGTGGCTGCCTGTAATGTCCAGTCGACTGGTGCTAACCGGGACCAGGGTGAAAGTCTCTTGATCTAGATTCTGATCGGGTTTAGGCTGGTATGAGACTGTCTCTCACACAAGCAACAATATACTCTAGCACCATGGGTCTCAATCCAGTAGTGTGTAGGTTTGATCTGAATATTTTTTTAAATTAATGGAATTATTTACAACTCATACGTAACCCATTTATAAATTAGAATAATTTTTGATGGAGTATTCCTAAAAAGAGACTGCCTAGCCAGTTAACACCAGTAAGACCTGTCCTCCCATGTACTCCATTGGCAAACACAAGAGAGTTTGAAAACAAGTGAAAGTCATACAGCCCATCTAACTTGTTTGTGTTTCAATAGAACTGCTTTTGCAACATGGCTAGGTAGCGTGTTACAGACTCAGAGAACTCTTTTTGCAAAGAAGAAACGCCTTCTTTCCATTTTATATATTTATAATACACTTTCTTACCTAATGTAGCATTAAAATGTTAAATTTACTGAGTCCCTGTAGAAATGTTTTTTTCACAACATTTTCATTTTTGAACATCAGTAAGACATGTGAGCTCTACTACATCAGTATTTATTCTGGTAGTGGTGATATTGAGCCTGGAACTATTTCAATTGCAAATCCAACTCTAAACTCTGTATATTCACACATGCAGACAGCAGGGTACATTGTCTTTCTTCTTGTATAAACACTCTACATGTTAATGTTAAAGGAGTCACAAAAGCAAAACTTCAGTGAGATGAAGTCCTTAAAAATGTTTTCAAATTCAAACCATGGGTAAGTTGTGTGATAGAGATTGCGTCAATAACAAATACTTTGCTCCTTGGCTGATGGAAAAAAACTGTAAAGCAGGGAAGTCCCACATTAATACTTAAGAGCCACTGCCAAGTAGGTTTTAGAGGCCTTCAGCTTTTTAAGAACAAGAAAAGACTTCAATTTGTAAGTATATAGGTTTAATTCAGCAATTAAGTGTTGAGGTGAAAGGAAGACAAAGAACCCTACTGGCCCATCAGGACCTCCAGGACTGGACACAATATATCCTGATACATATTCAGTCCTCATCTGAAATACACATTAACATAAAAAGTAACATAGCTTAAATTATACGTATGGTAATTACCAGTTGTTGTTTGTGTCTGAAGTGTTCTTGTGCTGTATTGGCTCTATCATGATGAGCATTTACTTCCCTTGAATGTCAATTTGTAGCAAAATACCAGACTGATAGACCACTTCTTTCATTGCTTGTCTAATTCATTTCATGAGTCATGTATTTCTAACTAATGTTTCTGGATGTCCTGTTTGATCATTTTAAATCAGTGCAATATGATCAGTGCCTTTCTTGAAAGAAAACATTATTGCTTCTCAAGACTGGAAAACCATGAAATTTAATCATCTGTCGGCTCCTTGTCTCAAGGTCTGAATACGCATGTCTGTAAGTACATTCAGTACTGCACTGATCTTTAGAACAATAGTGTCTGAACCTGTTCCAGGAGGAACAGTGTCATCAGACCTTCAATCTAGCTCAGTTCTTAAAGACCTACAGTTTATTAGCTCAATATTGACTTAATTGGGCCAAATAACTTCTCCAAGCTCCTTAATTAAATTAATTCTTCATTGAACCAACAAGTTGCTTTGCAGTAAGTTGCAAGTTTGCAAGTTTTGTTTCTACACAGTGGTTGGAGATCTAAAGTTACATTCAATAGTTTAAAGGCAACCTCCTACATCTTTACAAACTGGAAACAATCAATTCAAGAGTTCAAATGAATTATTAAGTGCTTAAATATTAAATGCTTAAGTGGAACAAAAACAGGCAGGTATGTGGCTCCTCAGGACCAGGATAGAGAACCACTGATTTAAGGGGACTTGGAAAACCTACATACACATGAATCCTCCAGGACCAGGACTGGACATCCCTGGTCTAGAGTCCACAGGACTCTTCAAAACTAAATCGGATTTCAATAGGTTTTTCCTTAAGAAAGTAAGATGTAACTTCTGTGCTTAACTTTGCTAAATTAACATTTGGCTAATTATCCTGGAGCAAATCGGCATTTGTTTCCTTAATCCTGCCAATGCCACTGATAGGTATTAGATTTGAACTGAGAGAGTTTTTCAAGGGTGGCACAGTGGCTTGGGGTTAATGAAACCACCTCATAGCCCTGTAGGACAGGGTTCCATTCTGAACTAAATTCTACTTGTGTCCAATTGGATTTCCCTCAGGGGTTCTGGTTTTGTCCCACAGTCCAAATGTATGCTGTCCAAGGTAATGGGCACTTCTTCATTGCCAATCATATATATATCTATGATGGACTGGCATCTTGCCCTGTGCATTATGGGCTGTATGACACACTCTTCTCCAAGGTTAAAGCAGTTATTGTAAATGATTGGAATGGTCTCAGATTAAATATATTGCAAGGTTTTATTGATCAACAGAGAAATGTTAAGTGCTAAAATGAAAACAATAAATAGAAAAATTGAAATGAAGAATATTGCAATTGTCATACTGTGCACAGTATCAAAAGCATGAGGAGGACCATTAACCAACAGATGGCTTTCTAGAACTTGACAGGTAACTTTAAAATCATGTTCGGTCTCAAAGTGATTTGCTGATTGTAGTCCACCAGCTGGTCCACCTAAATTTTGGAGGATGAACCTAGTTTGACACAATACATTTAGAAGGGTTGTGTGTTTGGAGTTGGACAGTGTACTTTCTGTTACTGTTACTGTGCATCATTAATCAGCAACGAACCACAGAGAGCTGCAGGAAAACAGCAGTTTATTGAATAAAATGAGAACATATTGACTTAGCAGCACCTTAAAGTGGTTATTCCTGAAACCAAGGAGAGAAGACAATTGTTAGATGTAATTTAGAAAATACACCATTTAAGGGTTCAAGTAGGCCTAGGCCTACTTGAGGGAGGCCTAGGCCTGAGCTTTGTGGGAATGAAAACCAGGACAGAGAGAGACAAGTTAATGGGACAAGCTTTGATAAATACAATAAACACATAATATGGTTCTTATCCTAGGTTTATAAAAAAGCAAAGGAGTCTCCCTTTTTATATATTTTATTTGATGATGACAAACATATAAAGAACAATGTACAATATAATCCTGAGGTTTTAATAGAACTTCGAAACATAGAAAATAAAGTGAAAGAAAATCAACAAGTTTCTAGCTTTAGGCCATAAGTGTACAACTTCAGGCCTTGAGGACCAATAACCAGCAGGTTTTTTTATTTTATGTTTCTATGAATCACTGACCTTTGAAAAGTGTTAAATTGGTCCAATTAAGCTGGTAATTAGGTCAGTTAGGTCCTCCAGAACAGAGATTGGATAAAAAAAAACAGGCAGATGCCAGCTAGTCTCCAGGACTGGAGTTCTGCATTCCTCCTTTAAAGCTTTAACAAAGAAATTGTCCTCTAACCATGCTGGCAAGACATTTTTCCAGACTTTTTAGTTTTTCAGTCATTCATATCTTTGTTTTTTATCTTTTCAGAAACGTAACTATGAGGTTTATTGTAACCGTTGTGAAACATTACTTCAGCTCAAAGCTTCCAAAGACATGCAAGGCAGGACAGCCAACATGTAGGGGTCTAGATACAGAATGGGATGTGCTTTTCTGTGCTCCCACTTGCTGTGTGGAGAATGCTCTGGAGTTCTCAGATTTGGAAAGTTTTGTTATCTTAAAGTTTGAATTTAAACTGTTTCATGTAACAATTTGTAGACCAGGAGTGCGCGACTCCAGACTTGGGGGGCCACAGTGTCAGCAAACTGTCCAGAAACAGGGTTTAAATCCCCCCAGTGTGTTGTGTGTATTGTATTATGTATTTACTTTGTAATTTGCACTTTGTGTATCCTGTCTACAATGTTTATGTCAGTGTCCTGTCTGTCCTGCCTGTATTTGCACCATGGACCAGGAGGAACAATATTTCGTCCCACTGTATACTTGTATATGGCTGTAATAACAAATAAATGTGAACTTGAACTTGAAACTTGTATTGCAACTCATGAGCCAATGCAACTAAATATTGACCTAACTGGGGAAGTTTGTTAGCCTTTACCAGTTCTTCAGGTGCTGCCGACTTAAGAAAAAACAACTTCTGGATTGTAGCCCTCCAAGACTGATGTTGAGCTCCCCTGCACTGCAGGGAGAAACACACTCAAATGTGTTAATCAACAAAAACCTTTGGCATTTACAAATCATCAGATGCACCCAGATCTGCCATTTTATATTGCTCAGTAAAAGGGTCACACAAGCACAGATATTAAGAATTGAAACCTCAATCCTGAAGGCCCTGAAAGCAAAATCCAAACAGGAAATGAATCAAGAACAAATATTAATATACAGTTTTGCCACTATGTCCAACAAGTACCAGAACTGGTGTTCAAAAAGACCATTTTCAAGCTGGGACTGGAAAATGAGAAGATATGATCTATTGAAGTTAATTCTTCTAAGGTTTCTAAATCATCAGACCACCCACCAAGCTTATTTTCCTTCTCTGGGTATACAATACATATGCTTTTGAATGAATTGATTGCATTCTCAGCACTGTGAGCTAGGATATGACCAAAATCCAATTCAAATTACAGTAATAAATATCAGAAAATTGTATTAAAAACAAAGGAGAAAAAAGAAACCATGATTAAATAAGGAAATCCTGTATCTCTTATGGTGCCTTTTTAAGTCCACCGGTTATTTAGGATCCAGATCACACCTAGAGCAAACACATGCCAAAGGTCCATCCAAGATTGTCCATTTTGTCTTAAAGACAATAATACCAAAGCTTGGGCCAAGACAGACCAGTGCCTGCTTTGTTTCCTTCCATTTCCTGAAACCCTTAAAAAAATGTATACCTATATACCTTAGGAATATTTTTTCAGTCCAAAGTGAGATATGTTGTGAATCACACCCGAGCAAATTCAGAAAGATGTCTTTTATCAAAGAGGACGGAAAACGCGGAAGCTGAACAGGCCGTCCTCTCTGGAGTTTTTAACGGACATCCCGTTGTTAATGGCTTAGCAGAATGCCGTCCTCAGATGGCTTTAGTGTCCGTTGGTTTCTCCGCCAGAAATGGAGGCCGGTGTCGATGACCTTGAAGTGATGCTCGACACCTTCTCGGGGGCAGGGCTGGGCACGCCGGCGCCCTCCGCGGTTTTGCCAGCGCCCCTGGTGGCTGCAGCAGAGAGGGGTTTGGGCTGTGCCTGAAGTCCGGGGCTGCAGATCAGGTGGTGCCTCTCCCAGTCTTTGTGTTGGCAGAAGGAGCCGCAGTAGCGGGCAGCGTTGCACCCACTGCAGGTCTCGCTGGCCTTGCGCCCGCAGTTCCAGCAGCTCTGGAAGAGCAAGGTTAGCAGAATTCATCACAGATTTCCTCCCCAGGGTCTCTGCAGCAGCAGGACTAATCCTAGAGCTATGCCGCCGAAACGGAAGATTACAGTGCAGACAGCTGCTCTGCTCTACTGGCTGCCTCCTTTCCTTTCCATCTGCCAGAAACTCTGCCTGTTGAAGGGGCTCCTAAACCTCAGACTGCACAGTCCCAGTATCTGCTAGTTGTCAGTCCTACTGTGCCCTGTTGCATAACTGAACTGAGGTCATCAGTACTATCTTGCACAAACTGTGATAACTGCCACACATGCTGCAATCAGACTGTGAATAACACCTTATCACTGAACCATAACTGAAAGTATCTGAAGCACGAGCAGATCTTAATGTGCAATTCACACATTTTAATAAATTGTTTCTTTTTTCTAAGAGATACATACTTAAAGGGAAACAGCGGCAGTTGCACACCACATTTAATAATATACCACTGAAATGAATGCTGCTTAGAGTATACTGAGAGGGGCACCCCAAGCCCAGCAGATAATCACTTAGCCATGTGGGTTCACAAAGGCCAACAAACCAATAATTGGCTAATTTCACCAGTGGCTTTAAAAGCACATCCCTTCCAAAACATCCTGATCCATACTTTACAGACAGTTCTAATCACAAAACAGGCGTGTTGCCAATCACCGATAAAAAAACATTTTCACTTGGATCTGTTTCTATCCTGGACATTGGCAATTCGGAGCATAATGATCAAATCTGAATTTGAATTTGTGCTCAGTTCCTGTTGACAAGCAATGTTTTGCATACTCTGGGATTCTAGGCCTGACCTTGATCCCTGCTCCAATGTAGAGTATGTAAAATTTCAAAGTGCAGTTTCTTTAATAAGTTTTCAAGTGTTTTTAATCGCTCTTTACCTCACTTGAGTCTTCCTGCTTATTGACGACCTGGATGACGTCTTCAGTGGCCTGTCGCTTGGCATCAGCAAGTGTCTTCTCCATCTTGGCTCGCTCTGCTGTGATCATCTCGAAGGCCTTCTGCTCGGCCTCCGCCACTGCCTTCTGCACCTCATCCATCGCCTGCCGCTTCACCTCATTAACTGCCTCCTCTGCAAGGGTCACAGGAATCAACACATCCCCTCCCTTTTTCTGTTGTTTCCTAGCTCTTGCCTTAAATAACACAGAGCTGTAAAACGCTTTGAACCCAGTACAGAAGGAAGTGCCAGAGCCCATTACTGATTCGGCAACACTGATAAGTATACTTGAGCAACCAAGTCACAATAATGGATTGCTTCAGTCAATACTGAAGCATGGTGTGTTGCAGAGAGACTGAAATGTGCGCTGAAATCAAATTCAAGAAGATGGTCTAATTAAAATTGACTAAAATGGGTGTCACTCAAGGCAGTTTTTAGTCTATTGGATATTCAAGAGGTTCTATTAATGTAAAGACTGCATACTGCTCAGTTTGATCAGACTTTTATCTTGATGGAAAAAATGAAGGGGGGAAGGGCCCTCTAGTTTGATGTTGTTATATTATTGTTTCAACCCCCCAATTCGGAATAGTCAATTACATTTTTTTACATCTCTGATGTGCTTACTTGATCCTCTTGTCTTTTAACATATCACAGGTAACACGGGCCCTCTGCCTGAGGATCAGTACTGCCTGGAGGAGAAGTGTGTCCCTCACTGACACACAGCACGTCTGCAAGCACCTGAGAGGCCACAGGGGCTCTGGTATCACTGAGAGCCAACCATTCATCTACCAGCAGTTGTGAACAGGATTCCCCAAGTGGGACATTTGGCTGTTGCAGTTGCGGTCAGCTAGTGACATGAACCAGACTCAAACCTACAGGCTCCAGGGTGTTTGGGCAAGTGCCTTTACCAGCCGTCCCACTCAGGCAGCTGCTAGAATATTGTTATTCAGTTGTTCAGAGTCCACTTTACCAAGGGCCTGTAAGCTTCACCAGCCACAATCTCAGGTGCTTCCCAATACACAAGGCTGAATTTGCGGTTTTTGTCGGATTACATTGTCATTTAGCATGCAAAACAGGCTTGTCCACTGGGGCTTCTCATGCCCAGTGTTATTGTTTCTCTGTTATGGTTCTCTGCACTTACCTTTGCCTAGTCTTTTCAGAAGTGAAATGTGCTGGGGTGCTTTATTTGCCTGGTAAATGACATTTTCAAATGCTACACATTTTCAGGAGTGAAATTATGCCAGAGAAAGAGAAGATGTAGCAAAATGAACATTAAAAAAAATAGCAATATATTAATTAACAGCTGATCCTGTATGTACCTACAATGGGTCTACATGCACGTCTCCGACAGCTTAATGTTCTTACCAGCCTTTCGCCAGATCTCATCCGCTACGTAACCTGGTCGGGATGTGAAGTCACGCTGAGGTTCTGCGGACAGGTAAGATCGGTTTTAAAACACAACAAAATCAATCCATAACAAAATCAAAATTAAAAGAGGAGGATTTCTGTGTACAGGTGACTTTGAATTTAGAGGCTTTTGCACAGAGTTCTTACATGACAAACAAGACTTCTGTCTGTAATTGAATCCCATACACTGTTGCCTGTTGTTATACAGCTCACAGAGGGACACAACAGTTAAGGTCGGCCACTATTAAAACACTCCACAATCTCAGAAACCTCCTGGATTTTTTAAAGTAAAGTCCTTTTAGAACACATACAGTATCATTTAACAGGCTTTAATGTTGTTTGCAGTTCTTTATGCAAAACTGAAGTGGGCAGATTTTATTTTCTACATATATGTGAAGTCCAGCAGAGGGCAGCCTTTTAAAACAAATATCCGACTTATAAACGTCAAATACCAATGGCATATTAATACTTAAGGCAAAACCTTTTTTTATTTGTCAATGCTTGGATTTTAGTACCGATTTTAAGGACCAAAGGCAAACAAGACTGTATGTTAAATCGCACATGTGATTAGCTCAGGTGCTCAACATAGGGAAGTTACTCCAGGTCATTTAATTCACAGGCCTTTCGCCTATGGAATGCTTCATCTTAACAGCCTGTATTTTTGAGCTGTTAGTGAATTAAAAATAGTTTTGAAATTTATAAGCCTTTTCCACACATGCAAAATCACAGACTTTGAGGCAGAATCCATTTCTCTCAGCAGACAGACACTCCAAAAGAATAAATTACTCCTGCCAGCGTTAGTTGTTCAAAATGGAAAATGACTGGAAAATGAAAAATTACCTGCAGTTTCCTGAAGTGACTTAACTGTATATAATTAAAGCAGCACTCTTGTGACTGTGGCAAAATACTTTTTCAATCCGTGAGAAGCTCTGTGCGAGAGCCCCACACACTCTCTTTCTGGGGCAACTGCTGAGGTCTGGAGCACTCACCGCTGTTTAGGCCCTCCCCAGCACGGGGGCTGTGAGCTTTGGAGAAGGGCTGCCCACTCTTCCTGGCCTCCTCATGCTCGCTGGAGCGCCTCCTCCAGTAGTTCAGCTCCTCACGGTCAGACTCCTGGCAGCGGCGCAGCACTGAGATGGAGCGCCGCGTCTTCTCCACCATGTCAACGATGCAGTTCAGCACCTGTGCGGCACACACATGGAGAGCAGGGGTCACGCACAGAGACAAGGGTCTAATATTAGAAATGAAAGCACTAGCAAGATTGCAGGGGATTTCCCTGGCTTTGTATTATGCATGACAAGGGACTGAAAGTCATAAAAAGGAAATTCAGTGCAGGATAGTGACTAGGGGACTGAAAACAGGGGACAGAAATCATGGGCATATCAGACAAAAGAGCTGAGATACATCGGCCAGTAGGGTTACCATATTTGAACATCAAAAAAAGAGGGCACCCAGAACAATTTTTCTATTGCTAGGGGGTCAGGATGGAGAGGGTTTTCAAAATATCCCACATTTTTGTATGTTCATTCGTAAAATAATTGTGATGATATTTAACTGTGTGAAATGCATAAGTCCCCTCTGCTGCAATAACAGCATCCTCTGTTTTGCTGCCAGATTTTACAAAATAATCTGTTAATTTGGTTGATGAACTCTCTCCTCGAATTGCCTTTTTGTGTTTGTCAAAATGAGCTTGCAAGTTGAGTACACCTTTATTTGCTACGGAGACAAAAGTACCAGGCTTACACACTAAACATTCAGCTTCCCAGTCTTTTCTGCCACTTCAAAAACACGGAAATTTATTTTTAGTTCTGCTGTGAATTTACACTTTTGCTTTGGTATTGTGTTTGATGGTAGGAAAACAAGAAACAAAATAGGGAGCCTTTTGAGGGAATGCTTCTGCACTGCGCAGACTGAGTAAGACACTGATATTGGCACCCGATTTCACTCTTTCATGACATAATAATACATGCACAGGATGAAAACTAAACGCGGACGTAGGTCGCGAAGCGAACTAGAGAAGTTAATAAATTATCTCGCTCTATTTCTAACCTACTCATGTACTGTCTTTAAAACGTTTGTTTATTATTCTTCATGGTGATAATAAAGCAGTCAAAATCCCAGACATTTCTGGATATTTGAGAATTCCCCCCGGACGGGGATATAAGGATCAAAATAGAGGACGTCTGGTCAAATCAGGATGTATGGTAACCCTATGGGCCACTGACAATAGCTCTGCTGCTGAACCTGACACAGACAGCACTGCTAGTGTTAGCAAGCGTTGGAAAACGGCTACAAGTTGGTACAATCCAAATGATCTCAGTGCTCAGGGATGTTTATATTATATGTGTGTGTAAGTGTGTGAGTGCGTGCTCACGCTCATGTTTGTCATTGAGATTTTCTGGGGTTCCTATGAGAAGATGACTTGTAGGTGGTACTTGGATGCTTTGGTTTGATCAGGGGTGGGTCTTGGTCCAAAAAGTTTGAGAGAACCACTGTGTTAAAGAATTGTGAAACTGAATGCCTTCTATTTTGTTTTACCTGAAACAAGAACAAAAGTATCAATGGAAAAACAAAATGCAGTGAAGAATACTATCCTGAGGAGTTGGTTAGAACCTGCTATTGCTTTTTCTTGTGTTTAGTTAGGATCTTTACATGATCTTTACAGGTCCACGTCTCATTGCACTCAGTCCATCAGTACATTGGTTGGTGCCTTGGGTCACTGCTTTTGATAAAGCAGCACAAATGATGTGATGTCTTGTGTTCCTTGTCCAAATATACTTTTCTCCTCTTTTTTTTTCCTTTTCTCCTTTGCTTTTTGACTAAGTACTGTATTGAGAATGATGTAATGCACATTGTGTTATCTCTGGAAGATGTCTACCCGGTCTGTTTTGTTCTAGAATTTCTTCTGTGTTTCAGCATTTGAACAGAATACTTGCACCTCAGGTGTATTTACAATTCACTTATATTAACATAAACATTAATTAATTTAACCCCCAAATGACTGCTTTTGTCAGAAGTATAACAAAGACAGAACCAATGCCTTTTAACATCCCAGTGGGTGTTTTCTGAAGGGCTATTAAAACAGTGCTGTGATCTAAGCAGGCTCCTCTGTACTAGAGCTGCTGAGCCTTGAGATGAACTGTACAGTGCCAAAGACAGCTAATATTTTCATTCCATCTGGCTATGAATTATGCAGCATTAGATGAGGCCAGATCAATCTGAAAATGAAGAGGGCACATTTGAAGTCACTGAATGTCCTATTCTGTCTTTTTTAAAGGGCTAATCTTCCTTCTGCTGACAGCTAATGCTGCAGTTTAAAACCTCTGACATTTATGAAGAATAGACCACTAAACCTAAACACACACCATTGCGCCATACACAGAAATTCCATGCGTGACTTATGGCATTAACTTTTTCGTCTTTCAAGGTGCACACTGAAAACAAATATACCAAGCAGGAAAGATGTGGGAATATTGAAAACTGTCTTTACAACAAAAACAATGTTCATTAAGAGTTTTATTTATGTGTTGTGCTGCATGGTCCATCTTGCCCTGGGTCAACAGTTCAACAGTTCAGGTCTTACATGATCCAAGTGCCGCCACTCGTCTGCCCACTCTCTGTCCGTTAGCCTGTGGTCCACTGGCTCCTCACGGTAGCCCCCATTGGCGCCTGACAGCAAATACAGAAAAAATAATCAGACAAAATAGTTCCCTTCAGAGGCTGGTTGTTACTGAAATCAATGCAACACAAACAAAATGTACCCGGCTTTGTCTTGCCCTTTTATCACGAATACAAACTCAATTCAATCATAAATAATTAACTAAAACTGTGGCCAGAATTGGTTAAAAGCAGTCTAATTGATTATGTCGGAGGTGTGGGGGCATTAGAAGCAAAATTTGCCTAAATTTATTTTTTACCTTAAAGAAGGTTCTATGTTTCAGTTGTGTGAACTAAATATCAAAAGATTGCTGTATAATTGTAATATGTACACATACATATTGCTGTCTGTATTACTATAAAAAGACAAACTGAAATAATTAAATACTTTTTTAAAAACCTGAGCTTATACAAGGTTTTTCTTTTGTCTTTTTCCTCAAGTCTAAAAACAGTACAAGCAGTTGCCAGCTACAGACTGGCTACACCCCGGTGGGGGCTCATTAGTGTCGAGCAGTCAGGCATGGAATATTCTTTTAGATTCTACTCTTTTAGGATTTTATTCCTTAAACCAGAGCACAGTGTTGACATGACTGCACTCTACTGAGGCTACCGAAATAGACAAAACAAACACCTTCTTTGCAATTGCTTTGATATACGTGTGTATATACTGTATATTAATGCATATTTTCATTCTGAAATTGGGCTTCCTGATTTGATTTTTGCTTTTCGAAATGATTTCATTTCGAAAAGCAGTACTGATTGTAATTTTCACTGCCTATGTGCATATTTTTTTATTTGGAACAGCTCTAAACTAAACCACTTAGTAGAACTGTAAATCTGGATCCCAGCCTTCAAGAACAAACCCTGGCAGTGTTGCCCTGCCACACTGGTGGCAGTGTGCTGTGGAATGCCCCTCACAGCGTAACGCATCTCAATCAGGAGCCCCCACACACGGCGCAGCTCTGAGAACAGCGCGCCTGATGAAAAGCAGACACTGACGGCAGCGCAGAGCGTGCTGGACGATGAACATCTGGAACTCAGCTGTCAACATTCCCTTCCAACTTTGAAAGAGCCCTCGGAGGCCCAGAGCATTCAGGGAGCCATTCCGGCTGAGCTATGTGAGCCACTTCTAAACAGCCTGGGCTCATAACTGGATCTGACACCCCACACCAAAAGAAGCCTCGCATAAAAAACAACACCCGGAGCAAGAGCAGATCCCTTGCGTTCATCATAGCTTTGAGCTTGCAAACATGCAACTCTGCCACAGGAAAGTGGTTTTGATTATAAAGTTGAACAAATGTCCAACTGACATTATGGGCATGTGCTTCTCCACAGTTTAATAATCTACACAGCTCTTGAATAATCTTCTCTGGCACTTTCAGAACGCGAACGGCCTGTAATTTGCAATTTTACCACAGCCCTTTCCAAAATAACCCCTGAGGCCGTTTGTGTTCACAGAAAGATTTAAGGATAAACCTAAGAGAACTTCAGATGTTCTGTTGAAACACTAGAGGGCACAAGTTGAGCAAAATATCTCTGCTTGGCAAAAGAACTAATCTGGCAAAAAAAAATCTAGAATGTTTGTTTTCAGTGTTTCTAACCAACTTGATTCTTTGGCACCGGATTTCATATTGAAGAGTTTGTTACTACAGGTCGCATGTGTCTTACAGTGAAAAAACAGAACTGCTGAAGTGGACAACTTACACCACACTAGATCCTTCTTGAAAGTTATGCCGAGCTCTTACCCAGGTGGCGGGGCCTGTCCTTCAGGTCCCTGAGCTCCAGGAGGCGCTGTGGCTCCCGGTATAGATGTGGCACGGCAATGTCCTCCAGAGCATAGTGTTGCAGGGGCGGAGGGGTGGGGTGCAGCTGTCCGTTGAGAGGGAGGGGCAGCGGCAGGGAGGGGCTGTGGCGAGGGGCGGGGCTGATTGTGCAGATGCGTTTGGCTGGAGGCTCCAGGGGGGCGGGGGCTCGCTCATGAAAGCCGTTCTCCTTGCCCCTGTCAGAGCAAACACACGTGCACATACATGTATAAGAGCTGAAAAAATGACAGAAAAGGGGAGGCCATTCCTAGCGATCCTAGCTCATTGGATTGCTAGCACAAATCTGAAAAAGTCACTTCTGGAAAGAAATTAAGTTATTGGCTTCAACAACACAGCCTGCTTGTTTTATATATCCCACAATCCTTTGTTTGCCGTGTCTGAAGCCACAAAGGATTTGAACCCACAGGCCTCTGAACAGGATTCCAGAGCCCTAACTGCTACATAACAGAGTCGACCTTTTCCAGACCCCACAGCCACTGCATAAAGCAGCAATTCCTTATTTTCAAATTTAATACTTTGGTCTGTGTGTTGTTATTGGTTCTGAGGAAGTCCAGTGGGTTAACTCTGTCAATGTTAATGGATTCTGAGGATTTTAAATACTTGAATCAGGTCTCCTCTATATAGAACAGCCTGCTAACTATGGTTCAGATATCCAGTCTGTTGACCTGAGAGGGTCAAATGTTTGCTATATGCATGACAAGCTTTAGAAACAGCTTGCTGGCTACTGCTCACTCTTCAATATTTAGCTAATTTCTTACGTTGGAGGTTGAATCAAGCGTCAGACAAGCCGAGAAAGCCAGTAGGTCACACTGACCAACAACAGCCTCACAAAACATCTGTATTACTAAACGCAATGAGTTTGGATTACTTAGGAAAGTAATAAAAAGGACCTGACTCACAGAAGCACTTCTCTAAGCACTGCGGGAGTCTGACAAGCAGCAGCTGAGATGCGGAGCGTGGAGTGAGGGAAGGTGCGCTGCAGGCTCACCTGTCAGGGCTGTGCCTCTTGCCGCTCTCGCTGGTCTCCAGCAGCAGCTCGGAGGAGTCGGGCGGCGACGCCAGGGTTGTGCTCAGCAGGAGGTGCTCGTGCTGGGAGAGGTACTGGGCTGGCGTCTGCTTGGCGGCACGAGCGCAATGCAAGAGCTCCCTCTGCAGCAAGGGCAGGTTAGCCTGCGGGGGGCAAACACAGCAGGTGATGCGCTGAAGAGCAGGAGAGTGACGGTGAGGAAAACATGCGAGCTGTCTTCCTCGAGGCACCAGTAAATGGCACTGCATTGAGGATACCACAGCTTCAATCACATGAACAACATGACAAATTGATGTGCTGCCAGGGTCTTGAATCATTTCTAATTTAATCTTTTGATCTTGGAGATGGAAACATTGGAAAGAAGGTGTAAAGGTCAAAGAAAAAGTCAATTGTATTTTTTATGTCTTCCCTGAACAAAAAGTTTGAAAGCACATAGAAAAGGAAAAAAACCTTCAATTCATTATATGACGTATAGATGGATTGTTTTGTCCAGAATTTTGATGTACAGCAGGGCCAGGCACGTGGATACGGGCCCTCCTGGGGTAATGAGAACCAGGCCCTGGTGTGCATAATTACACCCACTTCCTCATACTCCGGTTTAGGCCTCCGCGCATATGTTGTCTGTCATTTAGCCGTCTTCCGCAGGCGGAAACAAGATTTAAGGCGCCCTCAGAGCCGAATGCCTGCATTAATGCGATATGGAGCCCATATGGTGCTCTGAGCTTATAAAAGGAAAAAAAATGTTTTATAGTCATGTTTCACACTTCCGAGCACTCCAACCGAACCGCTGAGGGAAAACCTTGCTTCAGACTCAGAATAAATAATGGACAGAAAGAGGTGAAGAGTATCTTTTGACCTCTGCCTTTGTTCGCTCCTTGACCAAGTGGATTATAACTATATCTTTTTGTTTGAAAATTACTTTTTAATTACTGAATTTTTAAAAAAAAAGAACACACCTCTGACATGAAGAGGCCTTTCATGACTGCAAAAAATATTTATTATCTAAGTAAATTGAAAGACAGGGGGATTTTCATGATGCAAACAGTGGTGTAAAGCCCCAGAAAGAATGTTCCTGTTCTTCAGTTTACCCCTTCATTGGCTATACAGAGTAAACATCTTTGAAATTTTAAATCACAGAAGCATCTCACAAATTCAAGGTCATTCCTATGTCATCCTTAAAATGTTAAGCTATTGTTAAGACCATATCCATATTTGGGATCCTTTTTTCCAGAACTATTATTGCAATGAGACATATTTTATAAGATGAGTTATTGCAAGTGAAAAATCATTATTATTGCTATTGTTGAACTTGGTGTAATAGGCCTTTAATGAAATAAATGCTTTACAACATACAGGCGAGGCACAGTGTATTGCATTTGGAGAAAAAATAGCAGGAACAGTGAAACTGATACCCCATAACAATCTGGTTCACCTTTAAAGAAGAATTTTCCACACAATTTAACTTTCAACAAGCTTATTATAAACTGACAAATGCTTAATCCTGCAGGGCACACTTGCTAAATTCAGAAGTGCCACACAGCCTTGTGAGTCACACAGGGACAGGAAGTTTTGGGTCTTTGGATATGATGCAAGAGGTTCTCCAAGTGATCGAGGAGGTACCTTTAAAAAAGGAATCACGAACGGCCGCAGGGGGAAGTTTGTCGCCTCTTGGAGCCTGGAGTGGAATTCTTCAATTGTGACCGTGGAATTCTGCAGAGGAATTATCCCACAGGCAACAAAATGGTTAAAAATTAAACACCACCTGACATCACCTTAATTTACAACCCATATGATGAATGAGAAACTTTGCAGACCCCCCCCATGACTAAAAATTACATCATGAGAACAATAAGAAAACAGATGTACTCCAGCCTCAAATGAATTGTGACTGTGCCATTACGGGCTACTGCACTGCTGTTGTCCACAGACACAAATCCTGTACTGTGTTGGATTATATTGTATTGTTTCATCCACTACATAAACTCTCATGTTCCCTTTAGTAAATTATGAAACTTTATGCGTTAAATTGTACTTTTAAATTTCTAAAGTATTTTTGTTGAATCGAAGTCAAATAACAAAGGCACCGGATATATACATGCTTCATCATTACAGTCTGAACAGCGGCCACACTCACCACCAGAGCAAGCACCAGGCTGCGGACACTTTCTCCGATTTCGGGGGAGATGTCGTTACCAAACTGCTGCAGCGTGGTCAAGAAGCGTTTCAGCTTGCTGAGCTGCCGGGCTCCACACGTGGCTGGGAGCTGCTGATTGGCCAGAGAGGAGGAAGAGGAGGACGAGGGCCCGTTGCTGAAGCGCTGAGGCGGGGAGGGCACGCCGTTCAGAGTGGGCGGAGAGTGGCTGATCCCATTGGTCACTAGCACACATGGGTAGAAAGGCGCATGACATGGGAGGCCTGGGAGTGTCCAGCGAGGACACATTTACACTCTTTTGCATGTCAGTACTTGAGAGGATCTCCCACTGACTCTCATTGACCCATTTTCAATAACAGCTTATTTCAATACAGGATCACAGTGAGCCAGAGCCTAACCTGGCAGATAATGGGCACAAGGCAGGATGCAGCTGGATGGGATGCGCATCACAGTGCACACAGATGGGGAACAATGTATGTCAAATACATGCCAAATGCCAAATTATCCTAGACAGTGTGACTATGGTGAGAGAGAGGAGGCCAGAAAACCCAGAGAAAACCCACGCGGCCACAGGTGGAACATGCAAACTCCACCTAGGAGGTGCCCCAAGCTTTAACTGAACTCAGGACCAGCTAATATTAACTGACAATAATAATAAAACAAAATTTGGGGTCACTTTTAATTTTTTAAGAAGACACCATTTCATTTCATACTGTCCATGAGAAGACTTTCTTAAACTTTGATCCTGGAATATATATATATAGGTATAGCAATAACTACACCTACAAGTTCACTTTGGGGAATATTCATCACCAGAGTGCTGTAATGTAACAGAAACCCTCCACCTTGTGAATTGTTCCTTGTCTTACACAGTACACCTGCTATGTAGAAATGGGAACTTGCCTTCAAAACAATGTGTATTGTCCATCATAGATAAATTTACCTTCCAGGATAAATATGACTTGATCGAAAAAGGAGGATTTTCCATGCTCCATATTCACTTTGTGAGGATCTGAGTGTTTTCCCAATGTTACCAGGGGCATTTAGAAAACATTTCTTCCGACAGATGTGTCAGTGCTGAAGAATGTGCCTCCGTGCTCATTCACAGGGTTTCAGGAGGGTAAACCTAAATGACCTCAGCTGAAGCAGAAAAGTACTCAAAGGCCTTAGATAAAACAAAACAGCAGCTCTATACAGTTATAACCACTGGCATTACAAACAGGAGGGAACTGCAGGCTGATAACAGACGACTCACGTGTGGTGGAGGAGAAGGAGGCTGGCCGGGGCCCGCTGGGGTTGACCGGTGGCAGGGGTGGCATGGCAGAGGGAGCGGACCTAGAGTGAATCTTGACCTCCACAGGGGAGCCGGGCATGGCAGGGGGCTTCTTCTCTCCACTGTCTGAAAAGAGGATGAAAGGGACCTTTAAAAAACTGTCTGTGGACAGGAAACTACAGCAACCAGAACACAGGGTGCTGTCAACTTCAGATCCACAACTAAAACAGCACCAGCCAGTTAGTTAGAATCAGTACCTCAGAGAGGTTCATGTCTTAAAAAAAAAAGAGGTTTGAAGTAATGGTAAATTTAAGTTTGGTCATTAACACAAAGTTCAATACTAAGACTGGCCTCTTGGCCATACACTAGATGCTGGAAACACTTCCATATACAGACACCTTTGTCAGGAAGGCGAACGCACTTTTACTCTGACTAGAGATAAAACACAGTAACACCTGAGTACTATCTGAGTACAATAGTAGCTTCAGGAAAAACAGGGGACTTTTAATCACATCAAGATGGATAATTGGGCCTAAATCCTGAAAAAGACTTAGTCAGAAATCCTCTTGAGGACAGGACTCACACAGGGCTCAGCCACAAGAAATCTGAGTGACATTCATATAAGTGACTGATTCTCTGACATTTCCAGAATATAATTTTAAGCCTTCCCTCAAAAAATATGAACAAAACCTCTGTTTTTTAAACAAAGCTTGTTCTCTGAATTAGCCAGATGTCATCCAGCCCTTGAGCTGCAATGCGATTTATTGGTGAAGTGCTAATGAAAAAGCTCATTGTGATGAGAATAATGTTCTGCTATTGAGAATTAGGGAGGAAGATTTCTGTATTTCACGGTTACCAACAGGACCTCAGAACTATTGAGGGTTTAATATGTAATCCCAGAACACACTGGCTCAGACATGAACACCAATGCTGGAAAGGAAAACAAAAAAAACTTTAACAGGATTAGTCTTTTATTGCCCATGAGAAACTGAAAGCTCCTGAAGACTGGTGTCTCCTATCTAGAGCAATGCCAGCTGGTCACAGTGCTGTAATATATAGAAAAGAAACACCTGGCCAGTTATTAGAATAATAATTTGCATCCATGTAGGACTTTTCTTCTCAAAGGATCTCAGAGTGCTTTACGTATAGGAGGGGACCCACATCATTCACTGTTGAAGTGCAGCCCCCACCTAGGTGAGGTGTAGGACACTCATATTATGTGCTCGGTACACTTAATAATTAGACACATAGTGAAAAAACCTCCCAAGTTATATAGTAAAAGCATGATCTTCAGCTGAGCTGCATGGCACAGGAGGGGAGGGGTATCAATGCCTGGCTGAGGTGACTGACACTTTGAGCTGAAGAACAGCTGCAAGACTCTAAATTTTAGATTCATCACTATGACGAAACGGGATGAAAAACAAGAAGCAAAAGGAAGTCTTCACCCTTTTGCAGGTTTTTTTTTTTGCAGCTCCTAATCAAATGCTTTTCATCGAGACAGTTCTTCTCCCCAGATATATCTTCCTCCCAAAGACCTGTCTGAGTAATTCTGCAATTAAACAGATCATGCGGTCTCAGGTTGTATTCCCTGTAACACCTTACTGCCCAGTTTCACAAAGGACCTCCTTGTGTTATCCTAAGCTTAATAAGGTTCCCCACAATCTTTTACATGTGTAGCTCCATGTAAAAGAGAGCTCTGTGCCACCTGTTTTCAAACATGGTTGCTCACAGGTATTTCCTGTTTCATAACCTCACTCCCCACAGGCAGCTGGGAATTCTGCAAGGCCAGAAGTCTAACTGGAGAATTCAGCTTCCAATAAGTAAATATCAACTTCTGTATCATGTGCTATCCCACTGAACCCTGTAGCAATGAACTGTATTTGTTACCTGCTTGTAAAACCTGCTGCAAATTAGATCTACATCTCTATTCCTTAAAGAGTGTGCTGAAGGATTTACTCTACCTACCAAGACTTTCACTTACAAGCTTTAAAATTCTTCAACTCAAAGCTGTGGCAAGGAGCAGAAAACACTATGCTATAAAAGAGAACAAAAAAGCAGCCTAAAATAACCCTTATGTTTATAGATTAAATCAATTAATTCAAATAACAGATATTAAAATATTCATCATTACCAGGAAGTTAACATATACATGTCAGACCTAAGTGAAGCTAAGCTAAGTGCTAAGCTAAGAGGTAAGTGAAGTTCTTGCTGAAGAACACATCTTGACTTTTTCTGTGAAGTCAGCCTCTAGCCGTTCATTCACACAGTGTGCTGTAGCAGAATGTGTTAAACAAGCACAAACAAGAAAAACTTGTATTTCTAAGGCCAGGTAGGCAGGAACAGTATCCGACCACAAAGTCACCTTGACCCTGTGTTCAGCCACAGGGGGTCTGCATTAGTTCCGGCTCAGCAGAGAATGGCTGCCGCTTCACCTCAGGCTGTCTTGGCCCTTCTCTCCCTGGGAGGGGGCTGCCCAGTTCTGCACCGCGCACATGAGGCAGCGAGGAGCCCTGGACAAGCTGAACTCTCGCGCTCGCACTGCTGCGCTCCGCTGTCACATGAGGTACATTCTGACAGCTTTCCGGGTCTTCCATCTGCGCCTCAGCTCGTTTGCAATTCCTGGCTCCGGCCCTTTTCTGTGGTAATGCAGAGCCTTCTGCACTGCAGCCAGAGGCTTTCCTCTGATCACTCCACCTGCTTTCCATCTCGACAGGGCTGGGGAGCAGCAGCAGGAAGTCTGGTCTTTGTGCTTCCACAGCGACGCTCCAACTGCTGTACAGAGTTCTACAGAACACTTGGTCCAAAAGACCCATTAAATGACACGACATTTTCTCTCTTAGCTGGTGAAATCAACGTTTGTCACCTTACAAAATTGCCTTCTGCTGGCTACAAATCTGTTTTATCTGCAGAGCTGCGATCCATGACCACTTGCATTCATAGAACTGAAAATGTCACAGGCTAACAGTGAAAACTACAAGACACCGGTCTGGGCAAAACTAGGAACTAATTTAAAAATCCTGGGTCAGTAAGTGATGACAAACACTCCATATATGCATCCCTTTATTCCACAATAGAACAGTTCAGTCTCTGGCTAATAAGCCATATTAACACTGTAGTGTCTTCAATGGAAAACAGGAAGGGGAAAACAAAATGAGCATCTGCCAGAAGATTCCCTGTGCGTTGTGCTGCGCTGATCCAGAGCCCACTGAGCGTGAAAAACCTACACAAACCAGGACATGGAAACACAAATGCCCACTGACTATATTTAGAGAGAGGAGACAGACCACGCAACCTGCTGTCAGCTGAGTGAGAAGGATCTTACTGTGGGGCCACCTTGGATAAATATTGATCCAGAGTACTCTATTTGACTAGCTAGTCTGTGTGCCACCTGTTTTAAATTGAAAAGGAGAAAACCTGCTCTCTTAGAAGCAAAAACAAACAGAATAGAGCATTCACAATGCAATGCACACTACCGGCCAGATTGGCCAATTGATAAACACAGCACACCATGATAATTGCAGGAGGATAGATTTCTATTGTTTAAAATGAGATCACAGCTTTATTTCTACTTATCCAAAGCTTACCTCCTCCACCCTCAGCAAACAGTTTCAGCATTTGGGAATATTTAGTGTGCCATAAATTTGATAAAGGGGACATTAAGAGTCCTACCAGCTCTAAGAACAGGAAGGGTAGCTTTCTGTGGAAGTCAAAGACCTCAGAGTCCATCAATATCACTTGTAATTTCCCCCTCATAGAATAGGGTAATTGAAGACAGATACCTGTATGTTACTGGAGAAAGTTACATTTTTGCTATATTTTGTATCACCAAAAACAAAAACAGGTGGACCATTAAACTCCTTCCATCTGGCGTTACCAAAGGAAGAGCCTTCATATGTTTCCAGTTATCTCAATAAGCAGACTCAGTGAACTTAGCTTACAACAGACTCAAAAAGTAATGGGGTGCCTCAGATGTTTAAACAGCCTAAATATCAGTTTCAGCAAATTAAATGATGGAACATACATTTACAAATACGCCAGTGGGGAGCTGCAACATTGTGCAATCTACAAAGGGACAAACAGATGCTAATTCTACGCTGAAAAGTAGGCAAAAAAGAAAATCAAGGTTTTGGCTGTAGAACCTTCAGATGTGGGGAGATGTGGGAGAAAGCAGGCCACAGCGAGGGTAAGGAGGCCAAAGCAGATCTGATAGATCCCCATTTCACCTCCCATGTTCATTGTCACACAGACCTTTCAGTCCGTGTCCTTTCACAGAGGTCCGGGGCTCTCAATCCACATCTTTTCACAGAGGTCTGGGAGCCTTGATGCCAAAAGACATTATCCTTAATCTAGGGTTATTATTATTATTATTATTATTACTCTTTCCACACACCTGAAGAAGCTTCAAAGCTGAAACATTGTTTTTTTTTCTTTCCACTTTACAGTGTGGAACTACTGCTTCCACATACAAATAAGAAATGAAAAACAAAATGTAGAACATGTCAATACATGTATAAAATATTTAATACCAATACTTTGGATAGAAATATGCCATAAACTTCTGGAGTCTGTACTAGTCAGTATTTGTTCCAGAGTGGGACAAATCCAATTGGATATATATTTCAGATTTAGATAATATACCAAGAGGTGGTGGATGTACAATTTAGCAAATTCTTCATTTATTTAGGACAGAAGTGTAAATCTTATTTTTTCCAATTTTAATGCAAACGATCTCCTAATTTTATCTTTATCTGACTTTATCTCCTATTAACTCAAAATGAACATAAAGAGGGTTATAAAAATCTAGCTGTTTCTTTGACAGAAGACAGAATATAGAATTCCATACTCCCACAATCCTTGGTGTAAAGAAGTGTCTCCTGTTTTCAGTTTTAAATATGCTATCCCACAGTTTCTACTTGTGTCCTCTGGTTCTTGTTTCATTGTGAAATCTGAATAAGTACATTGGACTGTGTTTGTCAAAGCCTTACTGAAGATTTGAATATTTGAACCAGGTCTCTTCTATTCAATACTAAAAAGATTCAGTCTTTTTGCCCATCAGGGTAGAAAACATCTTTGAGTGAAGTAATGTATCTGGTTGCTCATTTCTGTAATCGAGCAGCAATACGATT